ATTTTTTTATTTTGTTGTATAATAAAACAATACTTAGATAAAACGAATCAAAGTTTAGGAGTGGGGGCTAAAACGTCATTTCTTAGTATAAAATGTACTGAGAAGTGACGTCACGCGACATTTCAAATCAATATATCTTCGAAACTATTCGTTTCCGTAAGAAAATAAAAAATACGTGTCTAATGGTTTTAAATAATCTACCAGACGGACATTAAAATAAAAATTAGTCGTCTACCCTATTTTCAAAGACATTTTTAGTTCAATCACAGCAGTTGTCAAATATTAAACTTCCAAACGTGACACTATCTGATTCCCTTTCCTGCCATTTGGTGAGCAAAAATACGATAGGCCCCATTGCAGCAGGCTCGACTCCTCCTCCAACATAACTGGTGGTGTTTCATTGCATATCCGCATCTCTGATTACCCTTCGGAATTTAAAAGCCTAGTAGGTACAAGCAAATGCATGCTCAATACTCATGCTTAGCTATTTAGCAGAAAATTCGAACTCAAAGATGAAAAGAACAGGAAATTGACATAAATAAATTCAAATCAAATAACCAAATAAAATATTACAAAGTGGGTCAACTCCAGTCAACTCAATGTGTACGTGAAATAAATATAATTATAAGTATTCTAACTATTTGAATTAAAAAATATCGAAACAAACTCAGGGGTCAGAGTATAAAGATACTCTACTACACCGTAATCGTCAGTCACTAAAACGAATCCTCTGGTTATAGATGAACAGAGAACTATTTCCAGCGATTTAAGTATGAAACTTAAAACACGTGTGTTCAGACGTAATGATAGCACAATATGGGATTTTTTTTTTTTTTAAGGGGGGAAAATCATCGAATGACTGCTCCCGCCTGGGTGAGGCGGGAGGGAGTGTCAGACTCTTACTGACTAAAAACCACCCCGTTCCTTCTCCTGCACGTCGAGCCGGAGCCCCGGTTACCCGTTAGGTTCTCCGCGACAGCACAATATGGGATAACTCCGTAGGTTTATTTGAGATAGTATTTTGAATAAAGCCTTCTGCAATATTGAATGGACCTATTCTAAAAGAAGGCATTAGGTTTAAAGGAGCCGACTCGACTGACAATACGACCCAGAAAGTACATTTAGAATAATTTAATAGGACCGCAAATCTACACAATTATTTAGACTACGATAAAAGTGAATAAGGTACTACAACTAGTTTTTGTCAAGGAATGGAAAAAACCAAGAAACCCACAAGATACATCTAACAACAAAATATGTAATATACAAAAGGATGAAAGCCAAAGCAAAAATAAAAATGTAGATTAAAGTAACCGATTAATACAAGTACACCTCTGCCTAGCTTTTCGGGGAAGAACATTCTCTCATATATTTCCTTTATAACGTTTAGCACTTAGGTACATAATGATATTTACCTACTTGACGTGTGTTAATAACACTAACTCGCTAACTCGCCTCAATGTTTATTTGTATTATGACACAATAACGCATCGCTTGCGACTATACCCGCGTGGGTTTCAATACAATTCTCGTAAAAAACATAGTATTTTTAATCCCCGAAATGGTAGTCAAAGGTGGACATTAAATGTAAACCAACCTTGATGAAGTTCATATTGGTTGGGACAAAATCCCCGTAAAAGTTATAAAACTAGCTACAATTGTAATTGTTCCCATTAGCTCACCTCACTAATCTTTTGTTCCAAAAGGGTTTCTTGGTTGACCTGTTAAAACAATCACAGAGACGATGTCATTGTCTACAGACGAAAAATAGCTAAATTATAGAATAGTTCCACTATAACGTAAATAACTAATACATTTATTGTCCTATTGGTAATTCGCTTTTAGGTATAAATAATCTATTGAAGAAGTAGTTACTGTTTTGAGTTCTTTTGTAACTTAGCAACTTGATTTTATTGTATTCTTAGTCCTGGAAGAGGCATTTGACACCGTCTCTGTCCCAGTCTTGATGAGAAAACTGGAAAGAGCTAATGTATGGGATATAGCTATCAATTAATTGGAAGAACATCTCTCACAGAGAGTAAGAAAGTTAGGATAGTTTATCACTTGTGTTAGTGATTTGAAACGGAAGCATCACTGGGAGTTCCACAGGGAAGCATAATATGCCCAATGAGTTATATGTGAATGACCTCTGCAACATGAACATGAATATGCTGTTAGTTGGACGCTAGTGATACTGTATTAGTTTTTTCGAGAAACTTCTAGTATGAGGTGAAATAAAAGGCAGAGTTGGGCATGGACAAGAGGCTACCCATCGGTTTAATGAACTCGATGTATCAGTGCTATCAAAAGTGGGGTTATATCATACTGCAGTTTAGTGACGTAGATTTTGAGGCTGGTTCGCAACCGGCGCACTAGGGAAGGGCATCATTTTTGGGACATTTCTGATAAGGTTACAGAATTGGGACAGCCTCATCAATAACTCGAAACGCATTATATTATTGTATTGTACTGTACGAGTTCAAGTGCAAAATGTGAATATGGTTATTTTTACATGTGACAAATGATGCAGTAATTCTGAATAATCTATGTAACAACTTAAAATAATTGTTTACCTTGTGTAATTCGTCCACATATGCCTGCATAGCTTCGTCTTTTGTCATGTTTCCAAGTTTGTTCCAGGATTCCCATTTTGCTCTGCAAACAATAAAATTATTTAAAACATTTAGGTGGGTCCAAATCCTTCATCAATCAATCACCAATCTTCATCGGTAGATTGAATTCAGTGGTGTACTATTGGAGAGTTTCGGTGATGAATTTTCAAGTAGTCACTGTACCAACCGCTTGCATATTATTTCTGCCGGATGAATGAGGTTACCGAAAGCCCAATCTCCCTTTTTTCCCGAAGAGATGAATTTTTGGTTGATTTAGAGAGTCTCCCTAATTTTACGGGTGTCCACGAGCAGCACTGATTGATTTTTATCAAGTGATTTATCTGCTCGTTTGCCGGTCCATCCAGTTATCATAAAAATATACAGTACTGACCTGTTCACGACATCCCAGAATCCAGGTTTTGGCTTATCACATGGTCCCTCTGTGGCCTGTTTGAAGTAACTGTAGAAACGAAGCATCAACTCATTGCTCGGCTGGTACGATCCTGCAAAGATAGAAATTTGAATTTAAGAAAACAATTTTAATTGTATAATTATTTACCTATCTACCTATCCTACCTACCTAAAACCTATCAGATCTCTTTTTGTGACTTCGTCCGTGTGAAACTAAGGATATTTTTCTCGGTTAAGTCCCGATTGTGTAGGAATGTCTGTTGTCGGCATTAAAAAGCCTGTTACTTCTTAAACACCAACTTCCTTATAGTGGCAGAACTTTTTAATGTATTTGTTCAAAACGGTAAAAGATTTCCTCTATATTGCCATGGATTAGTTTGAACTAAGAAGGTGAAGAATTAATCTAGTTAATCTCATATAGTACAAAAAGTCTCTGATTAATTATTACGCCTTTTTAAATTCTTTAACTTACCCAAAACTCTTTAAGTTTGGCAAACCCACGAGACGCAGACAGACAGATAATATTAATTAATTACAAATGTAAAATGTAAATTCTCAACTTAAATAAATATCCTTCAGTGAATGCAAGGTTGTTTCTAAAACAGTATATAATTATAAAATATACATATTGATGTGGTTCAATGCAACTATTCGTGCGTGTCAAGGTTCCAGTGGCCATTTTAATTTACTAGATCTTTCTGGAACATTGTATGCGTATTTTAAATGGTTGGTAATAGATAAACTTATGATAATGGCACAGTATAGTACATATGTCAACCATCTCTTCCCGAGCGTACATCGTGTTCCGCGCGCGCCTTAAGGAGCCATCAGACCACCACAGATGGGGCCCAATGGGGCTGATGCCGATACGAGCCGCGGAGGACTTAACGGGTTGCCGGGGTTCGGCTCGAAGTGCAGGAGTAGTAACAGGATAGTTTTTAGTCAGTAAGAGTCTGATACTCCCTATCATCTCAACAGGGCGGGAGAAGCCATTGGATGATTTTCCCCCCTTAAAAACCCACCTCTTACTGCTGGTATCGTGAGGGCCGATTAAGATAATCCTTACGACTAAAGTCAAACATCATTCCCATATAAATTGTTATCCACAGATTCTAGATTGAGGTTATTTATTAAATTCGACCGTAAAAGACTACGCATTTAACAGAGACCGTGCAACACTGTTCTCTGATAAACCTGAACCTTTTAGACTGCAATCTCCAAACCACCTGCCTAGTGTAGAGCTTGCCGTAATATACGGCCAGCCGGCCATAAGAGGAGGTCCATAAACAGTACCTACACTGCCATGGACATTGGACATATGATAATATCAAGGGGCTTACTCTTGAATCCAATTCCGATCGATCGACATTGGTATATGAAATTTCGTACTCTCGAGTTGCAACACTAGCGCCAATTGCATCCGTATTGCGTGGATATTGAATGAACTAAATGGTATTGAGTTTGGTTTTATTTTCCGTACTCTGAATGCTATTTCAACAGCAGGGGTTGTAGAGTTTTGATATTGAATCATTATTGAGTTTTTATTGGATTGAAATTGCATTGACATTGAGATTGGTTTCAAAAGTAAGCACCCAGATCTATAACATTGCATTGAGTTTGTTTTGGTCAAACATATAAATGCAAACCTACTATGCAAATATGATAACGGCATGTATTCGTCGGAAATTACATGATAACTTATTACCACGTTCAATTTGAACCTTATCAACAAGAGTTAGAATACAATTTACACTATCATTGTCATTCTTTGTTCCATCCGGAGTTTGAACTCTCGACCTCAGTCTGTTTGTCTACAAAGTGTGATATAAATAAATATAAAATATTACTTATATATAATTTTATGTATGAAAACATCTGTGACAGTCATAAAAAATCTATAAAAATAGTTTATTGTTAGTTTTTAAGAATGCTGCAATTTACTTGACGAGTACAAAGACAATAATACGAATGTTTGAATGTACACGCAGTAGATAACTATTGTTCATAAAAACCATAATTTATTTATCTTTTGTCTAACTTAACTGACTTTGAGCCAGCAGCTTCTATGGTGTAGTCAAAACAATAATATAAATTATGCAGTCATCTATTGATGAAGATTGTACAAAAATCCGTTTAGTAGTTTTTGAATTTATCACATTCATATAAACAGAGCGGATGGAAAGAACAACACGTAAGAACTAAATAGGTACCTAAATTCTATAATAACCTACTTAAGGTTTTACTTCATCCCGGTAAGATCACGAAAACCACTGTGAAAAAAACTAGGATTTCCTCCAGTGTGCATGGGTGCGTTTACAAACATACAAGTTCACATATACAGGACCCCCAGACTCGAAACAACAATATACGAATCACAGAAAGAGTTGTTCCGTGCGGGAATCGAACCCGCGACACGTTGCGCGGCAGCCGGTTGCACAGCCACCGCACCAGCCGTGCAGTCAGTATTCATACTAAAATGTCCCTACAAACAAATAAGTTACACAAAAAGTAAAATTTGCGACAAAAATCTGCAATTTAAGACTTCTAACTGTGTACTAACGACTTCTAATGATAATGATTATTACACAAGATAATTTGGCTAGAGTCGGTACTAAGTGAAAGTTACTGTGAACGTTTTATAGACACGAGGTAACTTTCTTTGTCACATTTTTCGGTGAGCGGACGAAATGTGTCAAATTGGATAGAAGTAGAAGCTCAGCTACGATGTGGAGTTATAGAAGAATTACTGCGTATAAATGTGAGTAAACGTGATGTGAGATGGTTTAATTTATAGCCTTGGAAGCTAAGCTAATAGTTATCAAAAATAGTAGCTTGTCAAGTAATATTAGAGGAGTAATATTTATTAACATAACAGAACACCACGCCTTTTATCCGCGATAGGGTAGACAGAGGAGCACATTATGGCGCTTAATGCCACTGTACAATGTAACACCCACATTTCACTATCTATGTTATGAGTCCCATGTAATAGGGAGTGAGTCTATTGTCATATACCGGGCACAATTCCAGACTCTGTGCTACTACTGAGATTTTTTTTTAATTCTGTGTCTGTCTAGGGATTTCAATTCTGGTCCAATAAATTAAGGACTGATTGCTAAAAAAATGCACTAAACATTGATAATGAAGCTCAAGTGTATATTTTTTGTTGTACTTATAACCTGGGAGAAAAAGAACATTGCTGCTCAGAACGAGATCATTTGTCAAAATCTACCGATTATACAGTCAAAATATCTTCAAAGACTATTTACAAATACAACCACAAATACTTAATAAATAATACAATTAACATCACCTACATATACAAACTGGTTCTCACACATCACGCGATAGAAGTTACTAGTCTTACAACTGGTGGGTAGACCTTGAACTGCTCGTGTTTATCAACAAATTACGGATCAAATTCATTCTTAAATTTGTATTGAGATACTTTAATGATTTAGTAACAGTGTAAAGCAAAAATGATTTGGCTGGCTCGGATGTCAACGTTAGCAACTATTTGGGACGATATCCTCAGTCATAAAACAATCTTCATCACCAGCCTATAAATGCCTACTGCTGAGCAAAGTCTCTTCTTACACGAAGAAGGTTTGAGCAATAATTACCACGCTTGCCTCAAAATCTACCAACAGCAAGTACCAAATTGGCTTTTACATGTACCCTTTAAGATTGCAAACGGTGAAGGAAAACATCGTGAGGAAACCCGGGCTTATAATTTCTAATTTTAAGTTAGAAATCCCCAACCTGCATTGAGTAAGCGTGGCGATTAATGGTCAAACCTTCTTCGTGTGAGACGAGGCCTTTGGTCAGAAGTGGCCACTAATAGCCTGTTGATGTTGTCTCCAACAAGTTGGAAATAGGACTTTTATCAGAGACCGCTGCTGTCATTTCTCTGTTTTTTTTATGGCATAAGCCGGTAAACGAGCAGACGGATCACCTGATGGTAAGCAATCGGTGTCGCCCATGGCCACCTGGAACATCAGAGGTGTTACAAGTGCGTTACCGGCTTTTTGGGGATTAGGAGTTCGAGGATCGTTGGGGATTCAGTGATTGGGGAGATTGGGGAAGGGGAAGGTATTTGGGCCTCCGGTAACCACGGAAAACACTCACACGATGAAACACAACGCAAGCGTTGCTTCACGTCGGTTTTCTGTGAGGCCGTGGTATCACTCCGGTCGAGCCGGCCCATTCGTGCCGAGGAATGGCTCTCCCACACACTGTCAAGTGTAAGACACATTACCCTAAGAAATCGAGTGGAGTCATATATCCGAACGAATTAGATATTTGCACTATCAAAATATGCGTGCTTGTGCCCCGAATAATTCTGCTTAAACTAACGATACCATCTTTTATTGTTCCAAATAAATTGCTTTTGTTATTAAACCATTAGTAAAATGATCAAGCTAGTACTGCCATTAACCGGCGTTAATAAAAATGGTTAAATGGAAATTTCCTTTTTACTCCTGATATCTTCTGAATGAATATCTCACAGAAAACCGAAGTGAAGCAACGCTTGCGTTGTGTTTCGTCCTGTGAGTGAGGTTACCGGAGGCCCAATTACCCTGCCCTTCCCCAATCTCCCCAATCCCTAAATCCCCAACCATCCTCAAACTCCTAATCCCCAAAAGGGCGGTAACGCACTTGTAACGCCACTGGAGTTCAAGGTCTCCATGGGCGACACCAATTGCTTACCATCAGGTGATCCGTCTGCTCGTTTACCGTTTCATCACATAAAAAAGGCGTGATGTTATGAATCAACTGTAAACTTCACATGTTTACTAACTAAAGCCACAAAAGGATCGATATTTCGATACAAGCCGTTGTCCATTCCATTGTCATTCGTCGCAGCCTATCATTAAGTGTCAAAGAATATGATACAAGTGCCGTATTGAATAATAAATACGATTGTGCTAAGGTCACTATTACCTAAGTTAACCTCGGTGTTAAATGATGATGTTGAGGGTAAAAGTATTGATTGTGTATGAACTTGCATGAATTTATGTACCATACAGAAATATATACTAAAGTCAGGCGCATTAGGAGAAAAATTATAGACATGAATACTTTTTTCTTC